ATTTTCATGTATATGTTTCTTTCTTGTATACCTTTGACTGATTTTCAGAGTGAGGAAATAGTTATTTTTGACAGTTTTGTCCAGCTTGTCACTCTGTCATTCTTGAAGTTAGAAGTGTGGAAAATTCTCCATCAGTATAATTATCTCCAAATATTGCCTCTTCTACATTCTCTCAATTCCCTCATCTGGAGCTCCTATTATTTGTTTTGTTTTAAGATTTAAAAAAAATGTTTATTTATTTTATTTTATTTTTTTGAGAGAGAGGCACAGCTCAAGTGGGGAAGGGACAGAGAGAGAGGGAGACATAGAATCCAAAGCAGGCTCCTGGCTCTGAGCTGTCAGCACAGAGCCTGACATGGGGCTTGAATCCACGAACCGCAAGATCCTATTCTTTCCTCCATGAATCTTAACCTCTCGTTCATATTTTCCATCTCTTTGCCTCTTTATGCTGCCTTCTGGGTAAGTTCCTTAGATGTATCTTCTGATTCACTAATTTTCTTTTCAGTTGTGTCTCATCTACGATTTAACTCATTAATTATGTTTTTATTTGACTGACTTTTTTTCAGTTCTGGAAAGCTGGTTTGGTTTCTTTTAAATATTTCTAGTCTTCATTTCAAAGTTTATGTTCTCTTCTTATATTTTCAGTTTTATCTTTTAAGTTTTAGAAGTTTTAAACATAGTTTAAAAGCTAATCTGGGGGCGCCTGGGTGGCGCAGTCGGTTAAGCGTCCGACTTCAGCCAGGTCACGATCTCGCGGTGCGTGAGTTCGAGCCCCGCGTCAGGCTCTGGGCTGATGGCTCAGAGCCTGGAGCCTGTTTCCGATTCTGTGTCTCCCTCTCTCTCCGTCCCTCCCCCGTTCATGCTCTGTTTCTCTCTGTCCCAAAAATAAATAAACGTTGAAAAAAAAAAATTTAAAAGCTAATCTGTTTTAGCTAAGGTAACACGAGCTGCTGTAACAGATGAAGCTTGAATTCTCAATGGCTTAGCTCAATGAAAGCTTAGTTGTTTATGTCACAGTTTGTTTTAGTTATCTATTGCTGTGTGACGTATTATCCTCAAACATAGTGTCTTAAATCAACAAATATTTATTATCTCACCATTTCTGTGGGTCAGGAATCTCAGTGCAGCTTAGCTGGGTACCCTCTGGATCAGGTGACTCACATGGCTTCACTAAGATGTTGGTCAGGGCTGTAGTCATGTCACGGCTTGACTGGAGGAATATCTACTTCCTTACTCACTCATATGGCTGTTGCCATGTGATGCTCACTGGCTATTGGCCAGAGTCATCAGTTTCTTGACATGTGGGACTCACCATAGGGCTACTCAGAACATAACAGCTTGCTTCTCCCAGAGCAAAGACTCTGAGAGTGCTTGAGATGGAAGCCACAGTCTCTTTGTAATCTCATCTCAGAAGTGACATTCCATTGTATCCGCCATGTTCTATGTATTACAATAAGTATAGGCCATACTCAAGAGGAGGGAACTATACAAGGGTGTTAATGCTAGGAGGTGGACATCATTAGGGGCTGTGTCGTGGGTAGTGTACCACATGGTCTGGTATGAACTCATCTTCAGTGGAACTTTATCTGTGACAGTCCTGAACAGCCTGGGTTAGAAATTTGTTCCTCAGAAAATACTTTGCAATCGCTTCTGTTAGACTATTCTTGGTCTGGGACCATTTTATGTTAATTTTTAATTTGCAGGGAGGTGTCTGGGTCACCCAGGCCTATGCAGACAGAATCCTGTATCTATGTGAAGACCAGTTTGTGGCTACAAAAATCTTAGAACATTGGCCTACTTCTCCCTCCCTCCAGTGCCTAGATTACAGACTAGCTTCCTATTATCATCCTGTGCTGATAATTAATTTTTTTTTAGTCTACTTTTCATGAAAGGTTTCTCCTTTCCTACCTTTATGGAGGTTCTCATTTCCAATGCTGTGTTTCATGTGGGCCCAGCGCCTTACTCCCACACCCAAGTGAGTGTTAATACCTAAACCCGTTAGTCCCTGAGACCAGCAACCTGCACCCCCACCTTCCACCGCCCCTGGGCTGTTTGCAGCCCTGACTCACACAGTTAATATTCTGATTTTCTAGTCTCCTCTTTGCTTTTGTCCCCTGGGGACACATCGTGCTTTCTTGTGAGCTCAGCTATGCATATAAAACATTTCTTATATTTTATCCAGTGTTTTAGAGTGTTTTGAAATGGGAGTGTTTTCCAAGTTAGCTAAACTAAATGACACAGGTAAACTATAGAGGATGTTGCGTAGCCCCCAGATGAACCCGCCAACTCTAGCACGGACAATTTCAGTTAGACCCAAGCAAAGCGTTTTCTGCTAAATATCTCACACCCTGGGAGATATTTACCGATTCTGAGTCTGGTTTGGAAAAAGGCTAAGGTTCCTATTTTCTAAGAGGATTCTTTGACTTTGACTCTACTGAAAGTGGGGGCTGGGGGAAACAGGGTGGAAGGCAGTGCAGGGATAATAGGAGAATTCACAGCACAATGTTACAATTTTATAATTCTAATACAGTAAAGATCAACACCGGTGCCATATTCCTCTGGGAGTCTATACAAGTCTGTGTTTCCCTTAGGTCCTGGTCCCTTGTGGAAACACTTCAGAAGCTCCTCTTGGCCAGTAGAGATAGAAAGTGTGTCCCCAGGGAGTTTCTCACCTTCCCTCTGTCTGCCTTGGATAGAATTGGTCATAGGAATAGCATATGGTTGGGATTTCAAGAGCTTCAGAGACTCTGGGAAGGAGAGGCCTCTGAAAGGTACTGTCATTGTTATTTAAGACCCTCTGCTATATGCCAGATATTATGTCTAGAACTTTACACACAGAAGAGGCTTGGAGATACAGAGATGAGCTGCAAAATGAGATTCCTTCCATCTGTGGTATCCAGAATGCTCTCTACTGGAGTTAGATCAACTCTCCTATGCCCCAGAAGGGACTCTCTGAGCTGGATTGGTTCTAGTTGGGGAGTATCTTGAGCCTGGCCTAGAAATAGCAGGAGTTAGATCAGCTTCTGAGCTTTAGGAAATAAAACTGGTCCTTGGTACCCCAGAGGTCCAGAGATAGGAAACTTGCAGAAGTCATGATGAAAACCACAGCTGCCACAGAAGTGTGGCCTGTGCCAAACATGGCAGAACTTAACTTCTACAGGATCTTGGATTGATTTTTCCATGACCTGTGATTTCTGTACACTTGTAATGAAATTACTTTATTTTATTTTATTATTATTATTTTTAATGAAGTTACTTTAGAACAAGCCGCAGAAAGAAGTCCAGACACTCCTTTTTGATTACTGGGCCCACACTGGAACCACTGAATCCAAATTTTCACAAAATTTTGTCCCTGAGCTTTGAAGCAGCCAAAGCAAAGAGAGGCATATGGGTAGAGAGCCTTGGGTTCAGATCCTTGGAGTGGAGCTTGAGTTAAGGTAGGTTTAACAAGGTCCTCAGGAGATTCTGATGCTCAGTCAGCCTGGGAAAAGAGCCAGGAAACCTGGCATTTAACTTTGGTAAATCACTTACAAGCCGGGCATCTTTGGACAGTTCATCGGCTCTCTCTGAGCCTTAGTTTGGGCAAATTAAGATCAGTAGAATTGGATGGAAATTTCTGCTCAATTTGAGGTAGAATTTAGTGACGTCATGTTATGCTTTGGAGGTGGAGTTATGGAAATGTCAAGTTGCATTTTACACGTGAGCCAAGCCACTACTTTATCCGTTGATTGCACATAAATATGATGTCATGAATCTTCTGGGAGATGTCACAAGATGCAGCCATGGGACACTTGGTGTCATATTTACTATGTGGATGCTACCGAGGACCTTATCCATGACTTCCTCCAATGGTCTCTACGTAATCACTCATGGGGGGATTTCTCTTGGGCTCAATAACAGGGAATAGTTGTGGTTCTCATGAGCAGTGGCTTGCTTCCAGGTAGGTCCTGAGACCTTCACATGTCATCCACTGAAGGCTTAGGATGTACCAGTACCTGCACCAATGCCCCACATGTTTTTCTTTGAGTCCCCTAAGTATCCCTATGAAGATGGTACCATTATCATTCTCATTGGGCAGGTGATAAAACTGAGGCCCCAAAGCTTTAAGTAGTTAGTGCTAGGAAGGTGCAGAGCCAACATCTGAGTCCAGGTGGGTCTGGCTCTGTAGCCTGTGCAGGCAACCTGCAGGCTATACTCCTTGATGCTTTGGCTGCTCTGAAGCTCAGGGTCAAACTTGTACTCATCCTGTGCTCTGGGTGTAGAGCTTATCCCTGGACCACCTACCTTTATTTTTCCTTTGTGCCAGTTTTCTCATATAATACGAACGATGCTGCAATCTCTGCGGTACATTTAGTCTTAGTGCAGTGCTAGGGGACACGGTTCCATGAACAGAATTTTCGTTTTGCTTTTTTTCTTAGTTGCTTTAATTTTTTTTTAAACCACCATGGATTCTGTACCACAAAATATCAAAACAAAAACTTTTGCTCCGTCACTTACCCATTAATTTCTGCCCTGCCCCATGGTATATATATCTCTATAGGGTGCAATCAGTTTTGTAATGTAATGGATCATAAATAATAAAATAAAAAGCACGCACTGCCTTCCCTGCAATTCCCCACCTCCATACTGGGCAGGAGGGTGGATGTCCCTGGTCCTCTCCCTCTGGGTTAGGTGAGAGAAATGTGAGGGGCTGGCTGTAGGTGGAGAGAAAGATGAGGCAGTCCCAGGTGTCCGGGAGAGGCATAGATGGGGTGGAAGGAGAAGTATTTAGGGTAAAGAACAGACCCCAAGACAGTGGAGGCAGGCCTGAAGAGCCGCACAGGGCATAGGATCCTCAATCCTTCTTCTTTGCACAGAGTGAGGGTTTCTTTTTGTCCCAGCATCACACAGAGGCAGTCTCTGCAGATCCAGATATATTCCTAAGGCAATGCGCCTCAGAGACCCCTGCTTTCATCCCAGCACCCCTGTAACTATCCTCCCTACCTACCCCCTGCCCCCAGCTCAGTGAGGAGCTGAACCAGCAGCTGGAGGCCGTGTGCGGGTCTGTGTTTGGGGAGCTCGAGTCCCAGGCAGTGGACGCCCTGGACCTGCCCGGCTGTTTCCGCATGCGGAGCCACAGCTACCTCCGGGCCATCCAGGCCGGCTGCTCTCAAGACGACGACTGCCTGCCCCTCCTTGCTGCCCCTGCCTCTGTCTCAGGGAGGCCCGGCTCCTGTGAGTGTGCCCTCTCTGCACCCCCGCCCGGCCCTAGGTTGGAGAGCGCCCTGGGTTCTAGCGCTGGCCCCAGTCACAGCTGTGCTGTGTGATCTTGGGCAGCTGGCTTGCCTCTCTGGGCCGCATGATGGGGAGAACAAGGCTCGGCTCTGTACACAGCAGCGCTTGGAGGACGCGTGCCTGCTGCCTCCTCCGGCACCGCGTGGGTGTGGGGCGGTGGGCCACAAGACACCCGCTGGGACGCGAGTTTCTCACCCGCTGCGTTTCTGCGTTCCGGCCACAGCCTTCAACTTCAGAAAGGCCCCGTCCCCCATCCCGCCGGGAAGCCAGGCCCCGCCCCGCATCTCCATCACGGCCCAGAGCAGCACCGACTCCGCCCACGAGAGCTTCACGGCCGCCGAGGGCCCCGCCCGGCGCTGCAGCTCCGCGGACGGGCTGGACGGCCCGGCCATGGGCGCGCGCACCCTGGAGTTGGCTCCGGTGCCACCCCGGGCCAGCCCCAAGCCCCCTACACTCATCATCAAGACCATTCCTGGCAGGGAGGAGCTGCGGAGCCTGGCGCGGCAGCGGAAGTGGCGGCCGTCCATTGGGGTGCAGGTACGGCAGGACGAGGCGCCGAAGCAAGCTCAGGCCCTGGCCGGTGGGGATGGGTTGACCTTTTCCTTCGTCTGCTCTGTGCCTGGTCATCGACAGGGCCCTTACAACCAGTCCCGGCCCACTCCCTTGTCACTTGTCGTGGAGCCGTCGCCTCTACTGGTTGCCAGTACCATGCCTCTGACCTCCTGGGTCTCTTTTCTTGTTGGGTCAGATTGTCTTTGCAGAATCTGCCCAGTGGCTTGGGGCTCAGCCTCTGCTCACCCCTCTGCCTGGGGAGAGCTTGTGTCCCCTGTCTAGCCCCGGCCACTGACTCCCGCTACCCTGCCGCCAGGTGGAGACTATCTCGGATTCGGACACGGAGAACAGGAGTCGAAGAGAGTTCCACTCCATTGGTGTTCAGGTGGAAGAGGACAAGAGGTAGGTCTGGGTGGGGCTATCTCAGGCTTCCTTGGGGGAGAAGAGGAGAGGAGGCTGCACAGTGCCCTTCTTGGTGCGGTCTGCCTGCACACCCTCTCTTTCTGGACTGCGACTAGAGCCCTCCTAACGGGGAGGAGTCTGGGCAGCCACAGAGGTTACCCTCGGAGATGTCAGCAGGGCAGCCATCAGATCTAAAGTGAGTTCTCCTTGTACCCGTGCCTGTCCCAAGTGTTCCGAGGCGACAGGAGTGGTTGGAGGAAGGGGCTGGTAGGGAGAGGTAACAGGTAGGTGCTGAGCAGGCCTCCAACAACTGTCCTTTATGGGGGATAGCAGGATTTTCCTAATCCGTCCTTATGACCTGTGGTGTACAAGTATGTGAGCTCAAAAAGAAACAAATAAACATGAAGATTGCCTCTCAGGGGCCTCTGGCAAATGTAATACTCCTCCTCACTTGGCTCACACAAGCATTTAACCAGTCAGGGGTACCTATTACATGCCTGAGTCTGTGGTGTACCCAAGATGGTAGAATTACCAGCAGCCACTATTCTGGCATTAGGTGGCCTCAGCAACACTGCTTCCTTAATTTCCAGCTGAAAAGTTAGCATTCAGCTCTGGAGGGGATACTGGAGGAGTCCCTCTGTTGTTGGCTCCCTATGGGAAGATGCTTTCTCTAATGACCATGTGGCAGTGCCACAGTGGCCCATCTGCCCTCTGGGCTGCAATGCCACCAGGCCAGTGGCCCTAAGTACGGTGGCTGCAAGAGTTTCATGGTAATCTGTGTTGTCCAGGCCATACGCACTAGAGGGATAAGGCTAGAGTCTTAGTAGCAGCCCCTTCAGCTGTTCCCAGCTGCCACTGTTGGGCCTTTTGACCTCCCCTAAAGTTCTGTTAGCTATTTCTGGGAACCCCTGGGAGTAGTGTGTGTGTGTGTGTGTGTGTGTGTGTGTGTGTGTGTGTGTGCGTGCCTGATCAAGTCCTGGGGTTCCTGTGGGCTGCACTAGTTTTCTTTATGCACGCTCCAGCTCCCTGCAGTTCCATATGCTCCTGAGGCTGTAAATGCTTCCACCAAGGGTGATCAATAGCTACCTTGTTGCCTCCATTGCTCCTGAAAGCCACTGTACTCCAAACTCTTAATATTCCACAAAGATCCCAGGAAAGGAGCCCTTTATGGCAAACCCAATTCACAAGTCCATGACCTGAGTTCCTGATTGGTGGGGTAGGAGTCATGGAGGGAGGCAGCTCTGTGTTCAGAACTCTTCCCCCAACTCTAATGCTGCTCTGTGGACCATCAACCAAACCCACTACCCACACTCACTCCTTTATAAGGCTTCTTGGTCCCTCTTCCAGTGAGACCCCTGGGGGTCCCCCTATTCTTCCTAACAAGCCTGAATCCTGGAAAGAGTGCAGTAGACATTCTACTGAGATTCTGGCTAAATCAGTAAACTTTCATTCATTCATTCACTCAGAAAATGCTCACTGAGCATCTCTTATATGACTGTTCCTATTAAAGGCTCATGGAAACATCAAAGACATGAGTCTTGCCCTCACAGAAGTTATGGCTTGGAAGGGAACCAAGGCAGTGAATAAATACTCCACAGAAAGAAATATGATCATGCATTATGGTGTAATATGTAATGGGATATTATTACATGTTATGGTGGGAATATGAAAGAAAAAATCTAAGAGAGAAGGGATCTTATTTAGGGTAAGTGGGTAACTCAAGGATTGACTGGGAATACTCAGGTGATGGTTGTTGGTGGAAGGGTACCAGGAAGAGGGAATAGCATATGTGAAGGCACTTGGGCAGGACAGAGTTTGACCTGCACCAGGAACCAAAAGAAGGTTCTGGGGCTGGTGTGGAACGAGATGGGGCAGTGGTGAGGGAGTGGATTGGAGAATAGGCAGAGGTCAGGTCATGCAGAGCACGGGCATGATAAAGAACTGGAATTTAATTATAACTAATGAGTAGCCATTAAAAGGTGAAAGAAGCATGACAGGATCTAATTTATGTTTACAAAAGATCACTAGCTGCTAAGTGGAGAATGAACTTGAGGGAAATAATAGTGAGTATGGGGAGGCTAGTAAGCAGGAATGTTTCCTGATACAGAAGAAAGGTGATAGCCTTTTGCATCATAGAGGACCTCTTTTTTCTATTTTATTTTCTAATTGGGCACTACCAGTGCAAGGGAAGATTATAAAGTTTTATACGTTGATTTTTGTATTCAGCAGATTAGCTGCTGTCTCCTATTAGGACTCGTAGTTTGTCTGAAAATCATGGATTTTCTATATAGTTGGTCATGTCTTCTGTAAATAAGGATATTTCTTTTAAATCTGTATTCTTTTAATTTCTGTTTCTTGCAATAATGCATTGTGTAGGACTTCTAGTTCACTGTGGAGTATAGCAGTCTTGTCCCATTCCTGACATTGGTGGTTATCTTCTCAAGTCCTGCTCACAAGTAAGGTGATGTTTGGTACAGATTTAGGTGGATACTATTTATCAGGTTAAGGAAATTCCCTTCTATTCCCAGTTGGCTAAGAAGTTTCATTTTTATTTCCTTTTAAATAGAATGAGCTGGAATTTTATTGCATGCTTGTTCAGAATCTACTTGGATGATCATAGATTTTCTCTTTTCATCTGTAATGTGAATTATATTAATAGATTTTCCACGTTGATCCATTATTTCATTCCTGGGATGAACCCTGCTTGATGCTATTGTCAGTTTGGATTAAGTTTTGCTGGAAGTAGCAGAGCCTCAATAGAATCTTTAAAAAAATTTTTTTAATGTTTATTTTTGAGGGGGGTGCAGAGAGAGAGGGAGACAGAGAGGATCCAAAGTGGGCTCTGTGCTGACCAGAGAGTTCAGTGCGGGGCTCGAACTTGTGAACTGCAAGATCATGACCTAAGCCAAAGTCGGACGCTGAACTGACAGAATCACTCAGGTGCCTGGAACCTCAATAGTATCTTAAGTGAGTTTCTCCTTCACTTAGAAAAAGAAAGGCCTGGAGGTAGAAGTGCAGTGTCAGGATCCAGGCTTTTTCTATCTTGCTGGTCTTGCACTCTGTGCATCGCCTCCTTCCCAGGAGCTGATGCCCAAGCTCCAGCCAGTCCTATCTGTATTCTGAGAAGTACCAAGGAGGAAGAGAGGAGGGACACAGTCCTTCCTTGTAAAAAAGACTTTCTGAAAATTACATATGACATGCTCAGGTACATCACATTGGCTAAAACCTCATCCTGTGGCATCTAGCGGCAAGGGGGGCTATGAGATGTATAGTCTTAGTTGCGAAGCAATGTACAACGAGCAGGGCACATTGCTGAAAATCAGGGTTCTTCTGGTTAAAGACAAAGAGAAGAATGGACATACGGAACTCTAGTGGCTTTTGTCACAGTCTTGCTGTATTATTTTTATATACATTACTGGATTTTTGAATAGCTACTACTTTAAGATGTTTTTTGGGTTTATTTTTGAGAGAGAGAGAGAGAGAGTGTGAGTGGGGTAGGGGCAGAGAGGGGGGACAGAGGATCTGAAGTGGGCTCTGTGCTGACAGCAGCGAGCGAGATATGGGGTTCGAACTCATGAACCATGAGATGAACTTGGATGCTCAACTGACTGAGCCACCCAGGTGCCCCTACTTTAAGATTTTTATATCT